AGGTTGGGAGATTTATCATTCATACCAACCAAAGGCAAGGCCAATATATAGTTTGAAGAAAAAAGGACTATAGCTCAACCTCTTAAGATGGTAATACTTTGGGAAAAATAGTATAATATTTATCAAATCCAATAAAACACAAACCAGATATGTCAAGATTTTCTTTTTAGGATAGAACCATTGTAATGGCAAAGAAGGATAAATTATTAGATAACGTGCCCCTCCCTTCCAGTGCTTATATAGCCTAAGGAAAGAAACTTCAACAGTATTATCAAGCTACTTCTCCCTTATGTCCTAGAACCCCTTTGCAACCCCCGACTTATTATTACCTGGAAGAACATGAACAGAGGTTCCATATTATATAGGGTAAAGTGTAAATCAAAAAAAAGGATTGGAGCTGAGAGACAAGAAATAATAACATGGCTATACTAAAAGCAGCTGAAGAAGAGATATTATGATCTGGACTAATAAAACCTTCAAAGAATAACTAGCTGATAATACAAAAGTAATAGTAGTAGTGTAGCTTTCAAATCACTCCATACCAAGACCAACTTTCCTTTCTTGCTAATATTTTTTTAATTGTATGCAGAGTTTTTTCCCTTATTTAATCTTGTATAGTTTTTATTTGTAGTTATAATATAGTTTGAAAGGTAGAATTATAGTAGTTAAATAGATATTATCACTATCAGATTTAAATCTGAGAAACATATCGATCTGAATATAAACAACATAGATTCTTTTTTAATTTTTTCACATTAGTAGATCCCTTTACTAGCCTCTTTGTTTTTTAAAAAAAGAGTGTTACTATCATAAAGTAGGTTCTTTTTTATCAAAGTTTTACTTGAAAAATAGCAATAGCTTATCTACATCATATATATAATATCTACTATATTTAAATAAAATATAACTGTACTAGCATTAAAAAAAAAAAAATTCTACTTATTTTGCAATTATATTATTTTATATAATATAATAATAATATTAAAGATAATTTAAGTAAACTATAGTTTTTCTTTAAATTATATTTTTTAGTTATTTTGATTATTGTATTAAAAATATTAAGTTTTCTTTTTTTTTTAAATTACAATTATATTAGATATATACTTTTTATTAGATAATTAAATCCTATAGTATATTATCAATCATCTTATACAAACTATATATTTCTATATATATGCAGATTAATAATAATCTATTATGATTAATCTTAGCTAGATTTATTACTACTTCTTAAATAGATAGATCTAATTAGAGATCAAATAATAAATATATGATTATTAATGATGTGACTAGACTAGTTAATATTGGGCTTACAAATTTTTATGTTAATTAAGCGAATTTTTATATATATATATCTTATGAAATTTATTATATTCTTTAATATTCTATGATATTATTTACTCAAATTTTAAAAAAAGACACTTTACCTTTTTTATCATTATCTATAATATTGAATTAATTTTTTTTGACTGATTTTTATTTAAGAGAAATATCAAATTGAAATAAAGGATATAAAGTTTTTATTTATTTATTTATTTATATAAATTTATATATCTTAATTATCTAGTTAATTATATATAATAAAGAATAAATTATTAATTTTTTTACTTGTTTATCCTAGTTTGTTTATTTTTTTATAAAAATATATAGATCAATAATATATTTATTTTGATTTGATACTTGTTTATTAAAGAAGTTAGTTAAATAAATAGTTAATATAATATTATAAATATTTATTTAAAATATTAATAAATATATTGTATATTATGATAATATATTATAGATTAAAAACTCTTTCTACTAATTTTTTAACTATATATAAAAAAGATATTCATAAAAAATTTTTATACTTCCTTGCTAATAAAGTTACAATATTTTTCTCAAAACAACTTAAAATATAATTTCAAGAATCACTTTTATTTTTCTTTTTTTATTTATAAATCTTTTTATTCAAAAACTTGACTTTTAGTAATTAAAAAAAATTAAGTAATATTTTTAATATTAATAACAGAAAGTTTTTAAAGAAAAAAGAACTGATTGTAAAGTATTTGAAAATATTTTTATTCTCTGAAACAAAATATTTATAGAGGTTTGTTATAATTAAAAAGCTTATTTTCTTTTTTTTAAACTATTTTGATTCTTTTAGAGTTTTCACTTTTATGATTTTTTGAAGAATTTTATTTACTTTAGTTTAATTCGAAATTTTAAGTAATATAAAATCTTATTAAAAATAATTAGTAGATATAAAATATATTAGTTTTAGAATATAAATAAGTTTTTTTTTATTATACTTATATGTTTCAATAATATTATTGATAACTAAAAAGAATATTTTAATAAAGAAATCATAATATCAAAAGATCAAGTAATGAATAATGTAAATTATAGACTTTTATTTCTTATTTAATTTTCTTAAGTAATAACAAAGCTTTAATAGACAAAGTCTAAAATTTAAATATTTTTCTTAAGATATTTCAATCTAATGCTTACTTAAATAAATGATCAATTAAATTATCTATTCAATATTATAAGTAATGAAAAAGAAGATTTCTTCTGAGATTCAAGTAAAATAAAAAGACTATTTCAATTAGGCAGTTTTCTTTTGAGAAGAGATTATTTTTATTTTTGAACTTTTTGATAAATCTTAAATTGTCTTTTTTTCCAATCATTTTTTCACTTTTTTTCCTAACTTAACAATTTATTAATTTTTAATCAATTAATAGTAACAAACTATTGATAATGATTTTGATAAATAGAGATTATAATTAATCTATTAAAGAAGTATAATATTGTTTTCAAAAATTAATTTTGAATACTTATATATAAATATGAGTTAATCACTTTATAAAAGTCTATAACCTATTATATATTTTGTTTTAATTTTTCAATAAAGATACACTATTATGACATGATTGTAGATTAGTAAAAAAAAAAAAGATAATGTATTATAGATTTAAAAAAAGTACTCATATTTTCAACATATTTTTTTTTTTTTTAATAAAGTATTTCAAAGTACTTTTTTATATACAGTATATGAAATATTTTATTTTTATTATCAAAATATTTTGAAAATTTATTTTCAAAGTCTTATAACAATAATTGAATATTTAAAAAATTTTGTTTTTAAAAATTTTTTGATAGATAGAATATAAAAAATATTGTTTTCTAAAGCAAACTTCAAACTATATTTAGAAATTCTATTTTTTAATTCTTTGAAAGAATAATACTTTATTGATTTGAAAAGATAAAAACGAAACTTCAATAAAACAAATATAATAGGTATATTAAAATTAATTATATTTGAATAACAAATATTTAATCTTGCACTTTTGCAAAAGAATTATAAATTCACAAAAAATTTTTATATCAGATACAGTATTAATAACTTTTTTTTTTTTAAAAAAAAAAAATAGCACGATTAATTAAAGTAAGGAAAGGATTGGATTTATATTCTTATAAACAAATAATTAATATAATAATAGATATTATTTAGCTTAATAAATACTAGTGAATGCTATTTTAGTTTTAATAATCTGTTAATAGATGATAGAGATTTAGTATTATCATATAAGATGAGCTCTGTGCAGACTTTATTTTATCCGAAAAAACTTGTAAACTCTATTAGGTTTAGCGCGAAGAGGCAGTTAACCTCTCCTGGAAAAAAATTATTAAACAAAATAAATTAAATAAGATTAAAATTCGTAACGATCCAAAAAAACAGCATAGAACGAAATCTAGAAATGATAAGTTCGTGACGTGAATATTCTCCACGACATCGATGTTTTTAGATCATTCATTATTAAAACCAAAAAGTTAATACAGATTTCCAGAAATATATGTTGCTATAGACATTTAGCCACAAAATTGTCCATTATTCTCCTAGCGAGACATCACACCAACTAGAGATTAACAATTGATGATAGATGCATCTTGCTTAAGAGCAACCGAAGCTGGATATCATATACATGAAAAATATCACTTCCATATTTTATAAACAATTAGTCTTCTCTATTCATTCATCTTTACAATTTTGAATTTCAAAATTTCGCGATCCCTGGATCTTCATTAATCTTAATTATCTTATGAATTCAATTTCCAGAACTTCAAAATTATATAAAGAACATTGTAGTAGGGATATTGAACATCCGTAAAATGCAGGAGCGTTTATCATGTACCGCCCATTTCTGTGTCTTCTTCAATTCCTCTAATGTAAAGCACATTATTACACCTACATTAAATAAAAGCAACATATTTTCAATAACCTCAACTGTCGAATCATGTTCATTTTAATAAACTGTCCAAAATCTTAACCTAATCAGCACTTCTCCGAGCGCACCGGTTGAATTCCCGTCGATAAACTCTTCTGTATTGGCAAGCTATGCAAATTTTATAGTATTTTGACTAAACAAATACGTACGTGCAAACTAGACTAAGAGATAATCAAATAATCCTACCTGCAAGTTCATGTATGAGTCCACTGATACTAAATAACCCTTATATTCCATGCCCCATTTTAAACGGACCACCACGGGTTTTCCCGTTAGTTCCTGAAGAAATGGTTTTGGATTTACCGGTTGAAACTTTTAAAGAACGAAACGAAGAAGAGTAATTCTGATGAGAAAAAGGACGATTTACAAAACGAAAACAGAGAAAGTAAAGAAACGCGTAATTTTCTATGAAATTAAAATATTTACCGCCATCTTATTGAAGACGAGACGAGAGATCAATTATAGATTGTGATTATTCTTGTATTACGGTAATACGTAAATTATGTACGTATCTATGGTCATCAACATAAATTGTTGACAAATTAAATAGAAAACATTTAATCTTGAAAATGTTCTGTTTGGTTAGACTCTAAATGTATAATAAGTTGTAAATTATTTTGTACTCAGTCCATAAATTTCACCTTGATCGGTGCTCTAATATTTCTGGGCTTCTCTTCTTTTCTTTCTTTTTTTAAAAATTTTCATTCTTTTATCATCAATTTCTTTTTTTAAATGGGAAAACTCAAGAAAGGCTTGACTTTGGCCGTTGACCGTGACACTGATGACCCTCTGCGTCGTCCTCGCCCAGCCTCTCAGGAAGGCTACAATTATCCAGAAGAACATAATAATTATGTCGGTTCACCACACCTAAACTCAAAACGTCAACCAATGCGTCAATATGGCTCTTCTGGTTCTCTTGAAGTAAGACACGAATATAATCGTCAGCGGAGAGAGCAAGAGTTTTTCTCAAGCTCACAATCTTCCCCACCAGATCACCCTTCACCGGAAATTTTGCAGTCTCCTCCGGGCTCTCCTTATGATATCTCAGACTATTATCGAAATACCATTATTCAACCTGATGATGCTCAACTTTCGAGGAGTCCTCCTTATTCCACACAACAGCTCGGCGGATCCATGCGATCTGTTCCGAAGTCTAATCCACAACCAACATCATCCCTATCACCACATGGTTACAACTCTTCTTTATCAAGTGACAGCGAAAACGGTCCTTCAAAATCGAATCCTCTAACACCACAGACGCCATATTCAGCCAATTCATTGCATTCACCGTCTCCAATGCGCTCCCCTATTCCATTACCCCGATCCCCTGGACCTGTGCAACAGCTCTCCCATTCTACAAGCCAAAGAGCGGTACAGCATCCAACACAGGTTCCAAGGACTGTTCAAAGATCACCGCAGAATCCTATCCCAGTTAATGCAATGCCTCAAAGACCTATTCCAGTTAATGCAATGTCTCAAAGATCACCGAAGAACCCTGTCCCAGTTAATGTGATGCCTCAAAGACCACCTTTGCAGTATCATCCTGACCAAAGGCTCCCCGCGCAAAATATGAATAATTCATCTATACAAAGATCACCGACACAATATTCAAATGGCCCACCAAACCAGAGGTCCCCTGTACCGCATTTACCACTTCAAAGGCCCCCTCCAAATAACGCCTTATCTCAAAGACCTCAGATGCCTCACTCGAATAACGCATTACCACATCAAAGACCACCTTATTCGAACGGTTCGCCACTTCAAAGACCTCTGGTACAGTATCCAGACGATACATCCTTTCAAAGACCTCCAATGCAGCATTCGAGAAATGTATTACCTCAAAGGCCTCTGGAACAGCATTCTGGTAGTGCGTCACCTCAGAGGTCTCCGATACCACATTCAAGTAGCGTGTCATCTCAGAGACCCCCGATACCGAACTCTAATAGTACACCACCCCAAAGGCCCCCCATATCACATTCGAGTGGCATACCGCCTCAAAGGCGTCCAACACTACATTCAGATAACTCTTCAATCCAGCCCCCCCCGAATGATTTGACATCACCTCCTCAAGGGTCGCCGACATCACATTCGAATAGCACATCACCTAAAATGCCT